TGGTACCCTGAATTCAGCCATTGGAGGCGCTCCAACTGCTGTTCTGTGTCTCAAGGAAGAAGAAAGACGATACGTTATGTTTATGCTCTAGCGCAATGGGCCTTGGGCCTTTATTTCTTTATTAGTATTACTATAACGTGAGTTACGTGGTGGTGGGCTGGTTGTCTCAGGGCCTTTATTAGCATAAAATAGCGATCCTGTTTTGGAAGATTGAAGCGATCGATTGATTTATACCTTCCTCGTTTCCCTGCGGCGGCCGAGAAGCAGCAGCACACCAAGCCAAACCCTAACAAAGTAAAATAAACGGCGGTGATCAACGAACTGCACGCACGACCAACGAGGCTTCCCGCCTAGGCGCACATCGTGGTGATAGCGAAACAGAGGCGCGGCACCGTAGGTATTTTTGTTTTCCCTGCTTTTTATGGCGTCCGAATTTATGTTATAAATTACAGCTGATTGTTATATCACTATAATTTAGTATAAATTTTTCAGGATCCTTCTCTAGTCCTTTTTTGTTGCATAGGCTGATCGTAATTGTCATCTGGCCGATTGTACATTTTATGCGATGGAATTTTCTCATGACGTCAATTTTTTTGTTTGTTCGTGGATGGTTATAGGAGGATAGGTTATTGGCGGATAGACAACTTCTTGCCCACCTAATATATGGAGTTTTACTTGTGTCTGATTTCACAAGAGGTGTGTGAAAATCAAATTTACCTTTCGTCTAATATGAAACATCGTTGCAACTTATTTCTTGGAGTAAGTAACTTAAGTTTCTCAACAAATTAATGTCCCTAAACATAGCTGTTAAATGGAATTTAGGCATGCTTATTATTATTTCAATGTTGTATTAAGGGGCCCCGGGTTCTAGTTTCGCCTTGGGCCCCCGATATCTCAGGATCGGCCCTTCCAGCAGCAGCTCTAGTTCATACAAAAGCACAAATAACACTTCAGCTTTCACAAGCTGTTATTCGAATAATACATATCTTCCAGAAAGATGATTACATCAACCAATGAAGCAGTTGGAGTTCTACATCCTCTCTAACTGCTAGATTTTATTACATGTTTCCACATAAAAGTTCACAGGACCTGGGAAACATAAGAATCCAAGATCTCATCCTCCTCCGAGATATCGGTCAGCTCGGATAACAAAGGGTAAGAATCTGGAACAGCGGTGTGCTCATCATCACAGAAGAATGGCCTCGAAGGCATCTGCAGGCCATCGAAGCCACCTTCCAGCATCTCTATGACCTCGCTCATTGTTGGCCTATCATGCGACTTCATCTGGATGCACCATAGTCCAACGATGCATAGCTTCCTCTCCAACTCGTGCATGTCAGCAACGGGAGATATCTCACACACTTCTTGTTCAGTTAGTCTGTCATACACCCATAACGGGTAGTATGCTTGGCTTGAGTTTGGTGCATTTGGATCGGCGTTCCTTCTTCCTCCAGCCATCTCCAGCAGCAGCATTCCGAAGCTGTAAACATCAGACTTGCTCGATATGACACCAAAGCTCCGTGATATCATCTCAGGAGCTATGTACCCAATAGTTTCCCGTAGGGCTCTTGATGGCACAAAACAGTTGTCCCTTGGGTATAGTTTGGCGAGCCCGAAATCAGCAACTTTTGGGATGAAATTGCTGTCCAGAAGGATGTTGTGGGGCTTGATGTCAAAGTGCAGAATCTGCATCTCACACCCCTGATGCAGGTAGTCAATCCCCCTGGCAATGCCCAAAGCTATCTCGGTGAGCTTGTCCCAGGAGAAACTCTTCTCGGATGAGAAGATATACTTGTCCAGAGAACCTCGAGGCATGTACTCGTAGACGAGCGCTTGTCTCATTTCCTCTGGGCAGAAACCCACTAAACGCACCACATTAACATGGTGAATCCTCCCAATGGTTGAAACTTCATTGATAAAATCTTCTCCATTACGGTTGGTGCTGCTCACTAGCATCTTGACAGCAACATGAACATTGCCCGGCAATAGCACGCCCTTGAACACAGACCCGTAGCCTCCCTGACCCAGCTTATCTCTAAAATGGCTTGTAATTGCTGTGATGTCAGTGTAGGCATACCTAATTGGACCTACCATTTGTTGCATTCGGAGGAACTTCTCGACAACATCGATTGTGATCCTCGTTTTCCAATACTTGTGGGCAAGGAAGATCAACACAGCCGGTGGTGCCAACACAAACCTGCATAACACTGCATAAACAAGTTTATATAGGTTTGGTGGGTGGGTACACACATGCGTAGACGTGATGATGAAGAAACTGCAATTAAGAGCAGAACATTCGGAATTACCAGCAATGCACTTGACAAACCAGAAGACGGATGGTATGATTGATGAGGCATAAACACCAAATCCAGTTGCATACACTAAGCAGTACCAGAAATTTCCATCGACCAAAAGAATTTGCAGAAGACAACTCATGACGCCTTCACTACACTCTTGCGAGAAGTCGCTGCAATACCATCCAACGAGACATAAAAGGAATGAAAGAGGGGATCAACGGTTTTGGGATAAAATATATCAAAACCACTTATACAGGCAACAAATAGAACCACTTATATAGATACATCAAAATTCGGAACTCACCGAAACTGGAGTATTAGGCACTCCTTGATGCTTCTGCTCATCCTATCATATCTGAAAGGGAATTTAATGGCAAATCCAATCCTCATGGATTTCACAACATCTACATAACTTGCATTTTCTAGCTGCGCATAGTACCAAGGCACTGAACTGTCCCAAGGCCGAGGAATCATGGCCAAGTACCCACAAGAAGGCTCGAGATACTTCATTGACATAGATCCATAACCAGTTAACACGTAAACATAAGTATCATTGGTGCTAAGGCAAGCAACAGGCATGTACATACCATTGTCCTTTACTTCCCGAGAGCATTTAAGAAAGCAAGCCTGACTACTTGAACGGGGTTCCAATTCGACTTCCATGCCGTCATGGTATTTAGAGGGAGGCCGATTCCACCGAGGTAGAGGGCAGCTGCTGTACAAATCCATGTCCGCATCGACTACCCAGAAGTAAGAACCACTGTCGTTGATGGCAGAGACATTGTATGTCACGTTGTCGATGTGAATTGTAGCCTTTGTATCACCGCAAACCAGCTCATAAGATTGATAGCCGCACCCAGGTGGATCACTTGCCTGACGAAATGGAGACGATATGTTTCTGAAAGGGCCGCACGAGAAAGAAGGACAATCAGGATGATGATGGCGCCCTTCTGACTGATCTGGTGCAAGAACTGCAAGCACAAACAAGAAAGTTAAGGCCTTGAGAGCAGTGGGCATCGCCATGGAAGACACAAAGATGCGCAGTTGAATGGCCGAATAAGTGAGTGGCTGCCAAAGTAAAAAAATAGAGCTCCAAAGGATGGTAATTACATGCCAAATAGTATCTCTACATGACCGTGATGTTGCTGACTAGGAGACTTGGCTACTAGCTGCCAACTAAAGTTGGGTACATACCACCTACTGGCTCATGTAATGATGGTGATGTTCTTGACCGGCGACCTCTTGGTTAACAGAAGAGTCCAATTGTGTTACTATAGCAACCTGTACTGGTCCAATTGTGTTACCATAGCATCTTGTACTGGTCCAATCATGTCCAAGTCATGGAACATGCAATTCGGTGCCTTGAGAAAATGACAAATAACAGGGACCAAAAAACGGAAAATAAGAAAATATCATTCAGTTGAGATATTGAGTTTACCGGTTAGCAAGGCATGTTTTGCAGAGAGGAAAAGCTAAGTCTGATCGAATTCCTCATTTGTATCTAGTTCTAGTTGAAAAACTTCCCAAAACCCCTCCGATGTGAAACTAATTCCCCGGAATATCTTCACACCGCGTGCAGATTATGTCCCCTGGTTTCCATTGATATCTCCCCTGGTTTCAATTGATATCTCCCCTGGTTTCCATTGCCTGCAGATTATACAACTTATAATAGACATCATTTAAGTCGCATCCGACTGAAAGAATACTAAAATAAACTGATAAGTGGAAGCTTTTTCTTTACAGGACTAACTAAAAGCATTTCCATAACGCCAGTTTAAATATGTCTGATGTTGTGACTGGACTTCAATTTTGCTGTTATCACAACAACTCAACAAGTCTTATCACAATTCAAACCTCGGCGAATGGTTTTCTTTTAGAAAAGGAGGATCACCGGCAGCATCAGCAAAGTATTCGAAAAAAGTCTGCGGTCTAGTGCAAGCTCGCTCAAAGCTAAAAAAGTAATTAAAAAAGGGAAAAGTTGCCACAACCAGCGAAAATAGGACGGATGACTAAACACCTAGCCTATTACTGGACCGCCATCCAAATCGGTTGTAAATATCCCGAGCTACCATCTCCCATCGTGTCAACCCAGTAACCAAAGGCTCCTTCGCAGGAGTGTGTAACGACCACATACGGATTCAAATAGTGACCATGTAGATAACCTGCAAACAATTTATACAAGTTTGTCTGTTAAAAAACATAATTTTTTTGCAGTTCCTTTTTTTAAAGGACAATAGACCCCCGGGCTCTGCATCTGGACGATGCATGCGGCCATTTTATTAATTATTCACAGAGGCCGTACAAATAATACATTAGTCAGCCTGAAGCCACCATCTAGGCAACACCTGTTGCTACTCCTATCCCATTGATGGAGGTGTGTCGAATATCCGGACCTAATACCAAACGGACATCACACTAAACCCTAACATCTAAATTCGGATGCCCAGCCGAGCCACACACCGGGACTGGGTCCCATACCGTACCGACGCACTCTCAGAGGCAGCCGCCGCCATCTTCCACCGGTCCATCTCCAGAGCCGAAACTGACCCATCGACCTTGCCTGGCCTGCCGTCAATGCCACCACGACGCCAGACAACTCCACCATCCCGCACGTATCCGTCCACACGCACCTGTCGACGAACCTCCACGGCACCATATGCCACCGGGATCCGCCGTCGGCCTTGCGGTGGATGAGACATCTCTCTTCCGCTTGTCCCGTCCAACAAGCACTTGCTCCAAAACGATGCCCTCAGGAGGGACAATGGCATCAAAGGTACCATCATCGTCCGATCCGGTAGATTCAGATCTAGGGTTTCCCCTGGAGCATCACAAGTGGGGTGCCACGACCTGCAACAATGATGCCTCAAGAAGGGAACGACATCATAATACGCCACCATCGTCTGCCATGACCAAAGTCGCGTCCCCCCAACCTTGCAGTTGGCTGGAACCGAACGGAGCCTCGCCGTGGAGACGAGGGCTGCCGTCGGCACGCCCGCAGGGAGCCTCCAGCCGCCCCTCAGCAGTCCTCTTCGCGCCACCGGCCGGCCAAGGCCGTACCGAGAGGTATTTGGACAGGACGTCAGATCCGCAACCATTGGAGCCTCCTATGCGCCCACGGCCACCACACCGCCGGCGATGTAGGTTCCCATCAACGCTGCATAGTAGGGGCGTCACCCTGACTGCCGCCCCTGGCCTCCCCGAGTGAGATTCCGCCTCCGCCTCACAGGATTTGCCGCGGCGACCACCTGCCCTGGATCTGCAGGGCCCGCCGCCACCGCGGCCCTTGCCGGCGGCAGTGGCAGCTGGGGATGGAGGAGCAGGGAGGGCTGGCGACGCGGGATTTGGGGCCCCTGGCGCGACCCAAGGGGAGGGCTTTTTTGTTATATCACCGGGTGAGACACCTGGGGGTTCCTCCTGCATTTTCATATAGCCCAAAGTAATGTGCATACTCCTATCCGAATATGTCTTGAAGTATTTGGCTCTACTCCATTTAGCCACGTCCCAAATTGGAGTAGGGGCAAAGCTCCCATGTAAGCATTGGGGTCAATTTACCCTAATGAAATTAGGTAATTCTTCATTAGCTTAGTACTAATTACTGTCCATTTATAGAAGATGACCCCACTGTCATAGACATGACCCCATCAAACTTTTTTTCTAGCTTCGCCCCTGATTTGGAGGAGTGATATTAAAGGCTGTATGAATTGAACGCCATAATAGTTTGGCCAGCGGACAATCGAGAAAGAGGTGTTTAATAGTTTCATATTGGCCAGCGGACAACCTCTGCGAATGGTGCTTTACCATGTCAAGCTCACGCGTTTATTGCAAGTTTCATTTAGTTAGATGTGTACAATTCTGTCAAAGGCTAGTTATTTAGGATTGAAGAAAAATGAGGACGTCCAGCTGGTGAATTCTGTCAGAGACCATGGAATTTTCATAGCCACAGAACAAGGCAAACGTCTCATTGGAGGTTAAAGCAGACAAGGAAGCAAGTTAGCAACTTTTTATACTCCCTGACTTCCCTTCTTCCATCTTTACTCCAGTATATTTCAAGGACTTGCCTCTTGTCACTCTGCTGCTAATCTATCTTCTCACCTATGAATCCTAAGTAGACACAGCATCGGTAGAACAAGATTTTGTAAGAACTTGTTCATCTCGCCGCTGCAGCAAACATGGACCTGAACACCATAGGAGAATGTCAGTCAAAGTCGATAGCTGCACCGTACGAACCAACTGCCAGACCTGGAAATGGGATACTGCCATAAGCCTAGGGATTCAAGCCCAAGCCCCCCTCCCGCCCTGATGTCCGCGCTCCAGCGGTAGTCGGCCAAGGCACCCCGGACGGTTTGCTGCTTCCTAGTGCGACGCAAGGCATGTTTTTCTACTTTTTTTAACTAACTTCCCAAAATTTGTTTAATATCTTTAGCACTAAGTGTACATTATATGCGCAGATGCATTTGATATTTCTCCTGGTTTCTATTTTCTGCAAATTATAAGTTAGAGTGGATAGCATTTCAACTGTGCACGGATGATAGAATACTAAAATAGACAAATATGTAGAAGGCTTTTTCTTTACAGGAGTAACAGAAAGCATTTCCGTAGTATGTGGCTAATTCCAACGATGACCACACTACAAGCTCACAAAAAATCAACAAGCCTTATCGTAAAGTGAAACTCAGCACTCGGTGCTTTACCGTTGAGTAAATAGGCAATTTCTCGATTAAATTAATCCACGAGTAAATCACTAGCATGACATTGACTAAGTTGATGACGTACTGACTCTGATCTAAACATGCACGTACTAAGCAAACAGTAGACAAATCTACATATACTGCTAGTACTGCTAATACGAAAATAATCAGGATCGGGATAAACGCGTTATACCCTCCAGTAGGCCATGCAGACGCCGCGGCGGTGGTGGCGGCAGCAGCATCCTCGGCGGCCTTCTTGTCGGCTTCAGCTTTCTCGGCGGCGGCACGGTCGGCGTCGGTGGACATGGTGATGATGAAGGCGACGCGGACGTAGAGTAAGTAGACGATCGGAAGCGAGCAGTCGCGTAATCGCTGCCCAAAAACCTATTCGCCCCTCACCCCGTACAGGAACCAGAAGGGCGTGGTTTCGGAGACCTGCTCTCTCGTCGACCGTGTACGCGGCGGACGGGATGGAGTCACCGGCGGCAGCAGCAGCAAAGGAACGACGGTGGGCGTGCGTGTGAGCATATGTGATCTGTTCGTGACGGCTAGGGTTAGGAGACACCGCATACTTATAGGCGCAGCCGCGTGGAGAGACGTGGGCTCGACCCACGTCCGAGTCCGTGACAGCCCACGATCCGACGTCTCAGATCGTGGCCCAGCTGTCAGAGAACTCTCCGTTAGTGACTGGCAAAAATAAGCGCGTAGGTGTGAGCTCGGCTCAATCCCGCAACCCGCGGCGCGTCGTGACGAGACGTGGCGTCGCGAGGCGGGCGGCGGAGGAGGAGTGCACGAGGGCCTCTTCTCTTCTCAAGCTCCAATAGCATGTAGAAGAGAAACCCTTATAAACCACTCCAACTCTCCTTCCACTTCCGGGGTGGGACTAAACTTCCCACTATACCTAGTGCCATATAACCCACATGGGCCCTTAGAGATTTTTCAGAAATTGCTATATGGGTCTAGAGCCCATCTGAAATTTCAGCAATCCCCCACTAGATCTCGAGGGTCCATTGTGTCCTCTATTCCAATTGCTGTTTCGATATACCAGTGTTTCAGTGAAGACCTGTTAAGGTTGAACTTCACCTAGAGCAACCAGCTACACTCCTTCACAACTGAACAATGGACTATGCCTTGAATTGTCAGTTTGGCGTAAAGAAGTTTCACTACATGTCTTACTAGTACTAGGCTGCCGAAGGCTGACCCCTCGGGTGGAGCATATAAGTCACACTCCTGGCCTATTCATGAACTTACTAGAGATCACCCCAATCTCATAGACTGTGACCAGCAGTCGGGCTCATATAGGTGTGTTCCTCCAAAGATCGATCTGTAGGATAG